CATTGTAAAACAAATTGATGATTAATTAACGTTAAGCGTTAGCAATCACGTAATATTCATGGCCGTCGATAGACGTACTTATTTACGGCAGTTGACAAAATTGTACTCATTCGACTTTCACAGCCAGTACACCTTTCTGTTTTAATTATTTATTGCTTTCTTTACCGGTGGATAGTGTCAATTTGTTTCACGCGTACTTATTTCTTTGTATTCATAATTACAAATGAAGCGTAAATGGCTTAGATACAAAGTTTGTCCCAAATTAACAGTAAACAACCCAACAGATACCGACTTAGTATGCACTGACGACATTCCAGTTATGTTCCTGTCAACAAAATGTTACCTGTCGCTGTGGGCGCTACTCATTGAAGTTGAAATTATCCATCGGTCGCAGTTAGCGCCATTATCTGCAAATGAGCACGTACCGAACGAAAGTGAGGGCGTCCGCATTGTTAAAGTTAGAGATCTTAATAGAAACCAGCGAAAAGGCGGAGTAGCGCGGAGTGAGCTCGAGTCGGCTTTGTTGTTGCAGCGCTGAGCAAAAACGTGAGGCTGAGACGGGATGTAGGTCGCGACAAGTGCACGCTGCTCGTTGCACGCGCATTGTACGCAGCAAACTAGGCAGGCACTCGTGCACTGCGGCCAGGCGCGAGGCGAAGTCCTCCGGCGGCGGGAAATAATACGGAGAGAGCCACTTCTTTTCTTTTCATTCCGACAAGAACAAGACTTGGAAAGCGGTGAAAACTACTCAAACTGTCTGAATAGAAGGTTTTCAGCATTATAGTAATTTATACATTTGATAGAGATCACTATAAAATGTGGAGAGAATATTACCTATTTGAATATCCACCGAATGATTCTGTAACAAATATGAATATCATAAGTATTCCTAATTAAAATACCTTTGATAACCAAAATTCTTCCATTAGAGAGGTTCTATTCATTTGTGAATAAACAAACACATAGGCAGGTGTATACTTCGGAGGGACGAATTTATTTTCTCATTTTCTGTTTTTGACAAAGCCCACACGAGGGGAAAAATGTGACACAATGTTCAGTGTTTCATGTAACATGATTTACCTATTTTTAGCTAACCTTATTGAACTTACAAAACAAACGTTATTAAAAGGAAAGAACGGGAAAACGTCCTTTTGTTGATCCTCTGTATATTTTGAAAACAAAACGTGGAAACACTGGTACCGGTGTTTATATAAGAAATATCTAATCGAAAACACGCCTAAAATAAATCAATGTGAAAGAGAAACACGTTCCACTTCTTTTGTTATGGCTGTGTAATACAGCTTTACAAAGTACCAATTACTTTACGTGATTGATAACAGTTTCATTCGTAATCAATGAAAACTATAAAAACTTATTCAATACTGTATCTTTAAACCGTAAGAAGTCATTTAAAGAAGGTTATAGAAGCTTTAAGTACATAAACAAAGTCAAGCATTAAAGTTTCACCATACGAAGCTTTCCTCATCCGCTCTCGAACTAGCTTGACCTTGCTTGTCCTACCATAGAGAAGGAACTGTTCGCTTGAAATGTTCAAAATATTCTCTTTGTTCGGCACGTTTGTGTCCAAATGCCATTTGTATGTCAGACTTGTCACGCTTTTGTGGTCGTTAAACGGCAAGCCCCCTTCATTGAGACTGACTTACTCTAAAATTTTATGATAATTTTCATAGAAACATTTTGAAAACATCTTGCGACATCCAACGTTGAACTTTCCTTTCGTTTGCGACTGAGTCAGTATTCAACGTTTAGGAAAATTAGTTGTAAACCCACAGTAAACGACCATGTTGCTCGAAGCTCGTCACAGTCACTCACATCATAACCTTGAGATTAAATGACAAGGAATTAATTATTGTAAATATTCCAATTACACGAGACATAAGTTCTCAAAATGTAATTACATGTTTAAATAAGTTCAATCTACCCTGTAACAACCTCTACCCACGCCTACCTCTGAGTAAGCTAATAACTCGACTGCTAATTGTAAATAGTATTCTACGTAACCTTTACAATAAACACAATAGAGTAAGTAATTGAATCCGAAATGGCATTTTAAAGTTCGAATGTTAACCTGCAGCCTGCAGCATATTCTGTTGACGCAACCGAACTATTTTCTCGCTGTTTGAAATCTAGAGCTCGGCTACGGAGAAATAGTAATGCACCTTACGACACTACTCGAAACAACTTTGTCTGTAATCAACATTATTATCAGCGGATTACAACAAAGACTTCTTACAAGTAGCAATTAATATTTTACACACACTAAATATTTCTGGAACATACAACTCAATTAGAAAGGAAAAAACTTATTGCATAGATATAAATATACGTAATATTTTACATATTTTAGTGCTCACAAAATGTCATGTGGACTGATGTATAGTATAGTCAGTTATTCAGTTAGGCAGTTACTTAGTACAATACAATATTAATTAATTACCTATGTTTAGTTAATTAGTTCTTAAACAAAAAGTTATTAATTATTTATGGTCATGTCTGCATGCAACATAATGTTTGTTATTAACAGTTGTCTCTATCAATGTCAATATAAGTTTTGCTTGAATAGTGAACGTAGCATGCACTCTTGCACAGGTACTAAGTAGATACCAAGGATGTGCATTATGCGTAGGAAGGACAACTGGGCGTATATCACGTTTATTATTTCTTAAACGCATACATTAGATTGTTGTCTGATCTTCTTAATAATAATCTTTAAACTTATTTGTTTTCCTTGAACTTTATGTAAAACCTGAATTTAAACTCTTGTAGAAAAAAATATCATCGACCTATCGTTATCGCTTCCTGTTTAATTTTTCATAGGGATCGGCTTAGATTAATCAAATTTAAGTATAACCAATTAAAACCCTATTTCATTTGACTAACGAATGTCACGATCTGCTAATTATAATCACCAGTTAACATTTTTTACTCCCAAAAACCAGTTTATAAATCAAATGCGGAAATGTACTCGTACTACGTAACTCTTTTATTTTTCTTGGTGTTACTTATGCAAGTATCACATTATATCGTCACATATTCGAAAAGTAATGTTCGCCTATGTATTCAGTTAGGTATTTCGCCACGCCACCGCTAAGTACGTTCAATAAACACAAATAATATGCGTGTAACACATTACTTGACCATACCATAATCACGTAAAAATAATGGCATGCCTATTAGATACGAATAAATGCCATAACTGTTATTTATTAGGTACCTATATATGCCATCATTTTCGACTCGTACTTGCATTGTAAATATGTGTGACTTTGTTCAAAACGGTTTATTTTAGTAGGCTAGCAGGCAGGTTTTGAAGACACACCTAGTAATTTGTTATCTTATTGACTCACCAAAGTCACAGATGTCGTAAGCACACATGATCGTGAATACATGTACCTATAATGATTTTAGCAAACTTCCAATTTTCATTTATTTTAACTTTTAAATAGACCGTAACTCCTATCCATCATAATTATATTGCAGAATAGTTTGAGCAATTTCGACAATACGTGATAAGACTAATGATTATTAATCATTTATTTACCCTAAATCTAAAATAATCACCATGATTTATTGTCTGTTAAATAGCATAATCATCCATTCAACCCGCCACGGCTATACTTAATAATAGAATAAGTATTTAATTCATAACAATTCGAAAGACAAAAACAATAAAAATGTATCATTGGACCAAACGTCACTAAAGTCAAAAATATTTAGTGCTAGTGCGTAACTACGTAACTACACGTGGCTACGCAAGTCGTAACGAATGTAGCAAATAAAAGAGGGTTGGCTACGCGGGCTACGCCGAAATTAAACTTAGATTTAGATTACATGCATTTTTATATGCAGCAAATACCTATATTAGTGAAGTACAAATATTTAGATACCTATATTTAGAAGTAAAGAAAACAGTAACACGTAGCTTACTTTTTGCAGACATTTACATCACATTTAAAAAGATTTAGGAAGTGTAAGTAAATCTTACGTGCGCATGTCTATTGTGCTATAACATGGCTGTAAGAGACAACTCAGTAGACTTACTTACCTAATCACGTAACGTAGCAATTAAAAGATATGTAACACACAAATCAATATGTATGCCGTAAAAATGTCCGCAAAATACACTTGTACCGCAATTATTCATCAGGAACTGGGAAGTGAATGTGTTAAGCTTGAGCAGTCATCTGTGTGTCGTCAACATGAACTTACTTGATGAAAAACTGCGGTCACAATAAATCATCGTCTCTGTTGGATTTCCATTTATTTTATGTTTCGTGTTTTTCCACCACTGTTGTACAAGAGTGTTAACGTAATTTGTTTAACAAAGAATTACTTCAGTACTTAGTTGCTTCGACATTGTACAGATCACGGAACAATACGGATCACAAAAGGTGACGGAGCGTATCATTTAATCTTCTACTTAGAGCGTATTGTCACGAGTGCCACGTTTAACACTGAATCTATATTAATTATATTATTTACTTGCAATATAGTGAATAATATGTTCATACACCTTGGTCATTAGTAATGGATATTGCTGAGGAATTTATGTAATTTAGTCTCATTAATGCTCCGAAGATAGGAGCTAGCACAGTTTTTGCAATACGCTTTCTAGAGACGTTAAATCGTGTCATAATTGGAAAAAACTTAGGTCTAAAAGGCATTATTCTTTTGTTTTCTATGTACACATAGGTTGTAGTTAGTGCTATTGTCAAGTAATTACGCAAGTACGTAATCTTACTTAATAACATATACTTCTTATGTGTCACAATAGTAATTACTTGACATGTTGTTATATAATACTTTCACGAAGTAGCCATTTCCTTAATTTATTTACTGGAGACTTAAACTAGACATTACCAGTTATGATATCTTAGTTACTTGACTAGCCTCGTTGTGTTTATAATTTTATATCTTATTTTGGACTTTAGGAGTATGGTAACAAAGCTTAACTCATAATATCTATATTTGTCTTCAAGCTGGAATATGGATGGTCACGGAATGGCAACCAGCGGTGTGTGCGACACCGTGCGCCGGAGTCGACGATGTCAGTGAGCAGTGACATTAGATTCACACGGCGCAAGCTGAGCCGGCCCTGCCGCGGTTGCTGTGCTGCGCTTGCGTCGCTACTTGTGCTACTGCTGCTTGCTGCAGTTGCAGTATATCTTGGACGTAAGTGGGACTAGCAAAGTATTTAAAATTATCTAAGTATAGTGAAGTATCTATAGGAGATACTTACATAATTCATATGTCCCAATTAAGTACAGTAAATGTCAGAGGAAAATGAATCTATGTGTAGACAAGTATCTAGCCTCTAGGTATTTTATGCAGAGCCTTTACTTTCCTGAAGTTTTTGCTATCGTGTCCAAATATGCGTTTACCTAATTGAAAATATCAATAATTATGAAGTAAGTACCAATAAACCGTTGACGATAAGACGGTAGTTCCGTTTCAACACACTTTATAGGTACGCGTGGTAACAAACACACCTGCCGCGATTGTGAATTTTAAAATAAATACCTAACTGAAATTAGTTACGGATGAATTTAAGCGAATGTTGCAGCAATTTTGTTAGACATTCCAAGTAATTTAAGTCTACACGTACAACCATAAATGGTAACATTACTCAACGCCTGACCCAAAGGACTGTGTTGCAAAACATCTTAGACAAATTAGTTTACGTCCTATGAACATGTTGTAGATATAGATACTACTTACACATGTTATGTATATATGTATAAATGCATATAGACTACGAATTAATTACTGTACATCCTTTACATGTACTTAATAGTCTTAAGTAAAGTAAGATTAAGATATATCCGGAAACTATAGATAAGATTTCATAATATTTTGTAAAGGTTAAAAAATCATTGAGATTAATTTTATTACAATTGGATCGATATAATCGACGAAATTGATTCGACGCAAATGGGTATCTAGTTGCTATGTCGTAATTCTATTTTGTCTATCGTCGGACCAGTGTAAGTACCATTTAATTTAGATTCTTTTGTTAGTAAACAGTGGGTATCGACTATCTGGGTTTCAATAGAGGCTAGAGGTGTAAACTGAGCGACATTTGCCCGTCACCGGCTCAGCAAAGGCCAGTGAGCCGCATGGCCTTGCCAAGCCCGATGCGGAGACAAGTGCACTCCTTGTAACAACGACGTTATTATGCTGCCATATTCATTGATATCATTATCGGTATTTAAAAGCTATTGTCGAAATGTCTTCTAATTAGTTATTCTAATTACCAACGCTTACTATTAATTTAAGTGACTTCAAAGTTATAACTTCAGCCACGCATAGCACATTACTTGAAGCTAAAGTCACGAAAATAAAACTTGATCACCTCTATTAACGCCTGAGAGTGATCGATAAAGAAAAGAGATTGTACTTCCGCGAGTTTCGTGACTTGCGATACTCCAAACTTAGTTATCTGTATCGATTTCAATAGATATTACTGGGTTTATATAATCATGCATCTGTATCACGTTATTGCCAATATTTCATGGTTATGTGCTCCGTTTCCCTTGCTTCCGTAATGCCTTATTGTAATTGTTCTTTCCACCAACTGATTTTTACCGCTATCAAATCTTTTACTATAATGAGCTGCTTTAAACAACGCTCCATGTACCGTAACAGCCAATAATATAAATTCCAAATACTGCATAAAATTGGACCGAATCCAAATGTAAGTTATTGTTGTTTTACTAATCTGCGCAGGTCTGTTCTTCAATTCTTTTGCTTGTCTCGATATTCGATCGAGGTTACGGTTTATTGGCAAGACAACCTTACCTGATATTTGTCCAAATATGCGTACTTTTCGGTGATATTAAACCATTTAAGGTTTTATTACAGACGGAAATATCTTAAGGACAGTTTGAGCACTTGATCTCTCTCAGATCTAGTTAGTAAGAAAACGTTTAAAAAAGTTAATTTATTTCTTGAATGACAACATTTGGTGAGAGCAAAAGACCATGAAACTTCCTTAATATATTCAGGACATTGAATTAACAATACGATTGGCTTAGAGCCAGAAACATTCATTGAGAAATTGTTGTTGTTGCTAGTTTTCTCAAATTCGCTCGTTTACTTCTTTGTAAAGGTGAAGGATTCTCGCAAGTTCACTTTTATAAATAAGTATTACGGCTGTTACTATGCATTCAACCATTTTATACCAAATGGTGACGTGCATTCTTTTATAAAAACTCAGTTGTTGGGTATTAGATATCCAATTATCATACAACCTGACAACACACAATTTCTTTAATTCTTCAATTTTCTTACGTACTTATTACTGAGCAATAATATTATCCCTATTTACAGACATGTACCTGTTTGGCGATCCCCTTAACCGGCAGACGTTCCGGGGCTCGTTCGTCGTAAGCTCGTGGGGAGTCAGCGAGGGCGAAAAGGGCAACGACCTTGAACCCAGAACCAACAGGACACGAGAAAATGAACTGCAACAGGCGCTATACAACTTATATTTGAATTCCGAATTGAAGTCGTGTTTTGTTTCTGCTGACATACTGGCTTTGGACAGGTGAGCTTAATTAATTTAATAGCAGTTGTTTTTTAAATGCTGTGTCACGCAGTTCATGTCAAGTATTTTATTCCGGCATCTGTCAATGATCGATGATTGAAAAGCAAATATTTTATTTAGTTACACGTATTTGTTAAGTAACTGCTGTCCCAGAAACCTATTTGTCTATTTAATCAGAAGTGTGGCTTACCTATCCATATCATTAAATAAGAAAAAATTGTAGGTACTAACTGGGAGGTCTAAAGTCTACCTACCTACTTGAAAAATAAAAGAGTTTGAAAAAGAAAAGATTATTAAAACGAAATGGCAGCAAAAATAACAATGCAATTAAGTGATTAAGAAACGATACACGCCTCACAATTAGCTTTTTATTACAGTCTCGCTTCGTTGAAACTTTATGTCTAACTACTTACCTATTGAATTTTTATCTTAGATCAAAGCTTCATTTTCTCATTAAAAACTTAGGTTTCTTTGTAAGAATTGTATTTGTTAATTTACTGTAATATTGACAAATAGATAACTTTTCAATCTGCAGTGTTGTTAAACAGAATAAGTACACTTTTAAAACCCGTTCAAAAGCAGCTGGACTCACGGTCGAATATAAAATCCTATCAGGCTGCAAAAATACAGACAGTTTCGTTAATCAAGCGGAATAATTTCCAAGTCTTATAAACTACATGTAGATTAATATTATGTTAATGGGTGTTGACTAGTAATGTCTTTACCGATGGATGGAGAAAGTACACTTTCTCGAAATCTCCGAGGTCTGTAATCGAGCATGCGACTGCGCACGCCGTTTTAGTAAAACGCTACAATTTCCAGTTGTGCCATATGACGCCTTACTATAAATAAGAAGATGATTTGAGAAGCAAGGCGATTAGATGTATAAACATCTCAATACTACTTAGACAATTTAAGTCTATTTAAAGGCATTCACTACCGGTTTTGAAATATCATGGGTATTTTTTCTACCGGTAAGTAAGTAGTTACCTACCTAACATGAATCAGACACAAAGTTGACATAGGAATTTAGTTTTTATAGTCAGAAATCGTAAGTAGGTTTGCAATTTCGCTATTAGCTGTCATGGAAATCGAGACTATTTTTATAAGTATAAAACAACTTTTACTTTTTAATGTATATTGTTGATGGCATATAAAATAAAAATGAAGTTTCTAACGATACTTTGTTCCTATGTATCTGTCACAAGAAAGTTCGATACGTGCTTTGTTTCAGAGCTTCGGTAGTACTTTCTATGCGGCGCACGTTGTGGACTATGTAGGTAATCCACATTGAAGGTTGTTCCAAATGTTTTATGTTCCGGCCCTTTCTTTTTGCGAGTAGAATTCAAATCGACAAATTGTTATGTTACAATGGTAGACACGAATACTTTTGTTGTGAATCCTGGTCATCTACACGGATATACGGATGTGACGTACCTGCTTACTGATATAATCTAATTGGATAAGTAGAATAAATAACAACATTTTCCTTGACTTTACATACCCGAAAGATACTTCTGAAAATAAATTATTATGAAACAAAGTAGGTTACTAGGTATATAAGATCAAACAAGATGTTATTAAGTTATTAATGTGCAAATGATTTCATCAACAGACAGGAGAGCACATCCCTGAGAACGGGCAACTGTTGAAATGTTATTTAAATAATTCACATTCTCACAAGATTTTGTTTGCGGAAGCATTAAAACAGATTTGTTGTGTCAATAGTTGCTCCAAATCTTTTTTAATTTTATTATATCTTACATGACTTCCACTTTTGTTGCCTCTATTAGTGTTTTTTATTTTAGCATAATTGTTATTTACCGACCGTAACTGTTGCGCAATGAATATTTAAGCGTTAGCCATTAACATAACAACTGTTAACTTCCGAAGCCATAAATATATGAAAGAACAAAATTATTTCATTTATACCGCAAAATAAAAACATAAGACGTATCTTCCCTAGGTCACTCTGTGACTACCCAGATTCTATAGATTGATATAACTTAACTATGTAGTTAAGTACCCTTCACATAGAAACATCACTCTAATAAACTCAAAGAACTTTATTGTAAGTATAAGTAGGTAGGTAGGTAGGTACCTGTATACTTAACTCGTCGAGTACCGGTTTTATAGACACAATTAAAGAACAATAGGTCGCGGTCACCGGTGACCGCTTGGTGTTTGACAGTTTAAATACTTTTTATGAAACTTCGTGACAAGTTTCTCACAACTTTCTTTAATTACAATTTCACAAATTCATGCTTGGGACAAATGCAACAAGACAAATAGTAAGATAAGGTGGAATACAATAGCTACAATGGATACTCAAGCCGGCGACCGCAGAGCGCCACGCCGCAGCGCACCGGTGACTCTGTTACCAAGACACCTAGTCAGGAGTTAGCTGGCTACTGCTAACTAGATAAACTTATTAGATAAGTAGTCCAGGTATAGAAAAAATTGACGTCGGCAGTATTTAATTAGGTACAATTATACCTAGGTATCCTCCTTCCGTATTTTCTCATGTACTCTCTGCTCTCCTTCGGGAAACCAAATGTGTGATGTTGTTGGTATTAATTCGAACTTATAATTTCAGTTCAGAAGAAGGCATGCGTGTACACTTCGAGGTATCTTTCGAGCCGATCTTCACTGCCGTAAGCACTGCCGAGGTGACGGCAGTGTTGGCTCGGGAACTCACGGAGCCGACTGCATACTTCAACAAAATAATCACGCTGCCAGAGACACTACATATCGAGGTAAGTGGATCAGTTAACACCTTATAAAATGTTATAATGAGTTATCATATCTTCACGCTCTTTTAACTTTGCAACATAGCAGTTACAATGGTAAACTAATGAATATATGGGTCCTACCTATAGGATGGTGAATAGAGAAATTAAACGTAACCCAATAATGAAATACTAATACCTTGTAAGTGTTCCTACTGTTTGGGGTTGAATATGACGCTTATATACTAAATGTGAAAACAACTCGGCAATCTTTTTAAAATGTTATTACAATTATGGACTTTACGATAGGAAACTTTAAAAGAGTTATACTTCAATATAGTACCAGACGGTATCTACATGTTTAAGTAAATGCGTTGCTTTCTATTAATTTAGCGTTTCGCTGAACAGTATTAATGAGGTAATAATGTGAACATCTCAAATTCCTCATGGCGAGCTAGATTTCAGCGCTTAATAGCAAGGTAAGCAACACATTGTGAAACTCTTTGGTCTTAACGGTAGATGATCTTTATTTACACAAATTCACAATCGTTCTTCTTTAGTTGCAAATTGCAAATATCTAAGATTGCAAAATCTTGTTTTGGAATATTACACAAATTGCAATCAAATTGCAAATTCTTATTCATAGTCACTTACACGCTAATTGTGCAGTTATGTAAAATTAAAGTTTTAAGTATTATGTTTGCCGGCGCGGCGTAGCTACTATTTCATGCGAATATTAACTAACGTTCAAATTATTTTTGTCTTGCTCTTGAAGTGCATATAGCAGTGGGGCACTCACCCCATCGAATTAACATAGTTATCTGATTCGTTGGTATATCGTTTGCGAACAATAATGAACTTTTCATATGAATAAAAGCATCGATATTCGATGCATAAGAATCGCCATTTAAGTATATTGAACTCATGTGAGTAGACGGTACCTATACATTATTATACCCATCTTTAAAATGCACGATGCAGCACAGACAGTGTTGATTTAAATGTACCTACCTACATAACTAAATACATTAACTAGGGAAAAATACTTATGCAAGTACTAAGTAGGTAACCTACACAATTAAGTGGTATGTACCTACTACATGATTGGGAGATAATTAAGTACACTTGGAAGCCGACGTTTTGTAGTTGAACTGACCTTGGCAAGTGTTTAACCTCGTAGATAAGACGGCAATTATTATTAAATTTCTAACTTTACGTTCAATCACCTATGTATTAGGTACCTACTCGCATTTGTCTTATAACATTAAACAATGCATGTGTCTAAGCTTTAAAATCAATTACAATAAGGTTGGTGCGTAGGTTAATACACTGGTTAAATTACATTATTTACCTACATGAAAATATCAATAAGTAGGTGTAAAAATAAATAGAACGGAAAATATGCTGCGTCTAACCGTCAAGGCTGAAGATTGAAGAACACATAGTTCCATTCTAAATCAGAAATCAGTAGATAGTTCAAAATAGTTCAAATAAGACGATAAACAATAAAATTTCACCCCTCACCCAAAAAAGCTCACCCCCTATTACATGGGACTCGTAACATAAATAGTGAAAAGTGGGTGTTACATTGTACAGTGGCATAATGTGCACCTCTGCCTACCCCTTCGAGGATAAAAGGCGTGATGTTATGTAATAAAATTTGACATATATACATACGTACAAATCTACTTATTTAAATATAAAATAGTTATAATACGACAAACATCTAGGAAGACTTCGATATATAGCTATAAAAAATACGTATACGTATACCTATATGTATATGTATACTTAACATCATTGAGTGATAAGTCTCTACATAGTAGGTATAGTAAGGTTTTTCTTGCTAATACATTAATAAACCGCTGCGGCATTAAGAACGGGGCTCCTACCTATTCTAAGTATTATGTTACAGGAGAGTTCAGTGATTTCATCATTGGAGTTAAAAGAGACAGAGACTACGCCTATTGAAGCCCCCACGACTGAACCCGTGACTCCTGATGCCGTGGAGGAAGTCAGAGAGTGCTCCGCAGTGACGTTACCATTATGCTCACATCTGCCATACAACAGCACATCATACCCTAACCTGGTGGGGCACATGTCAAAAGACGCACTGATGCGAGACCTCGTGGCGTTCAGGGAACTTCTTGATGCTGAATGTTCACATCTTGCACAGGTACAGATACAGGTTCATGATTTTGTAACCTTTGGTATTGTAGTCACATTTGATTCAGGTTTAACAAGTTTCAATGACCAACAGTCCAACAAAATTAATTTATTACCACTAAATTCAAATGTCAACCTAATGGTTATATTTTTCAGGACTTTGTATGTCAAATGCTCCAACCTCGGTGTTCGGAGGATCGCCTAGTCCGGCCGTGTCGAGCTTACTGTCGTGCCTTCCACGCTGGCTGTGGTGCACGTCTACCGGACCGACTACGACCACATTTCGACTGCGCACGATTCCCCGACTACTTCGGCAAAGGATCCTGCTCTCCTGAACCTGGTAAGACAACCTATCATCATTGAACGTATAAATATTGCACAGACATCTTTCCAAACCTCCAAAACGACACAGACACAAGCTTTAATGATTTTTGTTCCTCCAGAATGTTCTAGGGGTTTACAAAGACTAGCGCTGTCTCGCAGAGAGTGCGACGGAATTCCTGATTGTGCGGGTGCAGAAGACGAGCGCAGTTGTGCGCATTGCTCTGGAGCAGGCGAGGGAGGCCTGCGCTGCGCCCTGCATACTCGCTGCCTGCCCGCGCACCTGCGGTGTGATGGTACTCCGGACTGCCCTGACGGAAGTGATGAAGCTGGATGCTGTATGTTTACTTAAGCTGTCTCTTCATTAAAGACTTATCCTTGCATATTACAAATCCAAATGCCCCTACCAGTGCAGTCTGCACCGCGAGTTGAGTTTAACGATCTTACTTATGTTTATAATTTATTTTATAGTGTGGATTGCTCGCTCCCTGTCATCTTGGCGACGTGAGAACAGTGAAACTACCATGGGTGCCATACGCAGCCGTAGCGGCTACGCGGTGTGGGCGGAGGGCGGTCGTGATGGCAAGATCTGCGCGGCGCCCTACGAGCACGACAAGCGCGCGCTTACTAGTGTCGCTGCTTCTCTTTGTAAAGCGCTTTCTTTCAAGTAAGTTTATTGTATCTTATTGAATAAATTATGACAAAATACCTATCTACGTCACCATCTTAGTCTTAGCAGCGATTTTTATCAACTCTATTCTATCCATTGCCGAAAATCACCCATGTTGAGTGCGGTTACCTAAAGATAATAGTTGGTAAGTAAATCCATAAAAAGGCAAATATGTCAACTTTAATAGGCTGTAAATACTTAAAAAATAAGTTCAATCTCTTCAATCGTTAATAATTGCCATGCTGAAGCATCCATTCATCAAATGTTTGGTAACAAAAAGTTGAACAACGAAACAACACAAAGCGAGGTTAGCGAGGGGGCATTATCTATAGGTACTTGGAGATAACCATGTGGTAACAGTAGCCACCTGTAAAGTCTCAATCCAATACAAGCATTATTAAGAATAGATACATAGGTAGGTTCATAACACCACGCCTATGTTCCCTAATAGGGTAAACAAAGGTGCACACATCAGTAGATATTTGGGATGAAATACTTTTCGATAAACCCTATACGTTGTTAATAAATTTCATTAAATGGTAACTAATTCACAGGGCTGCATTTAGCGCAGAAGTAGTGCCAGATGCTGAAGAGGTGGACCAGGATGGACCAGACCCAAAGAAAGAACAGCCCCAGTATGTTGAAATAGTAGACCCATTCGCTCCAGAAATATCGTTCCTGAAAAGCGATTGTCCAGAAAGAAAAGTTATAAAGGTCATTTGTGACCATTTGGGTAAGTGGAAAAACAAAGCTGCTATAGTGGAACAATATAATCTTAGATGATTAATAACTTTTTGATTAATTAATATAGAATGTGGTGTAACATCGGCTCGGGGTGCTGCGTCTGCGGGTGTGGAAGGACTCCCGCGCTCCGCTCGGCCCGGCGACTGGCCGTGGCACGCTGCGTTACTGCGGACACACGTGCACGCCTGTGACGCTGCACTTATACACCCTTCCTGGCTCATCACTACAGCTTCATGCTTCCAAGTTAGTATGCTAAGTTTTTCTAGTGATAAGTCACTGGATTATATACCTATCTTATCAATTATAATGCTTAGGTCTTCTTCGTGGTACTTTAGTACCTAAAAAGTTCTAACACTAAATTATTGTTACAGGGACAACCGAAAGCTGAATGGACTGCCAGGTTTGGTACTGTGCGTATACAAAGCACGACACCCTGGCAACAGGAGCGACGGATTGTTGGCATGGTCCGATCTCCTGTAGAAGGCAGCATGTTGGCACTGGTACGACTGGAGGAACCAGTGGAAATGACTGACTTCGTGAGACCTATATGTTTACCTGAGAATAGTGTAGAAACCGCGTCACCTAATGTTTGCAACACGCTTGGATGGTCCAGAAATAAAGATCAACTGCAGAGAGTTCATGTGGTAGCTAGTCCCATGAACTCGTGCGAAAATATGAGCATTGCGACTGCAAATGGAATATGCGCTGAACCATTATACGATCAAGACGATTGTGACGTAAGTAATATTTTTTTAAGTACATATTGAAATAAATTATAGGTACACTTGCGGGTCATTACCCAGACCCTGGGTCCATTGGCCGTGTGTGCGACCGCTAACTAGCAATTTCGGGTTTGTTTCCCGGGTCGGTAAAGCTCCCTAATGTAATAAATTATATTGATTTTTATTTAGTTTTAGTTTAGAATTAAACTTTGGGGCACTATTACGATACACTTCTTCTAATAAAATATTTTGTTTTACAGGAGGAGGAATACGCAGGAAGTTCAATGATGTGTTATAACGATAAAACAAAACAATGGTCCTTGAACGGTGTCAGTGGATGGCGCATTGCCTGCTCGAAAATAGGGCTGGGCAGGCCTCGGATATACGACTCCATAGTTTCTCACGTCGACTGGATTCGACGAACTATCTCGAATTCAGCAAGATGACCTAATTTATAATCTCATACATTTGTAAAGACTGCATTTCATGCTTTGGCTGTATAATTGCTATACACCTAACAAAAATTCTTGTGGAAAAGATACTATCAGAAATGTGTTTATTAGCTAGTATTTAAGATTAGAATTTGAAATGTGAAGCATTCTGTAACACTAAAACTATATGTTCAGTAAATGAATAATTAATGTGATAAAATTGCACATCATAATTTTATATAAAATGCCCACAATACTCAAAACCTGAGACCAATATCATTTCTAGGTGTAATTTTATTTGTAACAGTTTAAGTTGTTAATAACTATGTATATTTTTATAGTAAGAAACTGTTTTTATTCTTATATTTAAAAAGATGACTTAATAAGTGCCTATTGTGTAGTTATAAAAATTAAGATAACTTATTGAATTAAAGTTTATGCTAGATAAAAGTACCTATTGTAAATATTATTATAAGAGTGGAACCAAAATTTATAGCTAAGCTGTATTTCACAAAAAAATTTGATTGTTTTATTTATTTTGGTTGTTTTCTTTAGCATCCTCTCACCACTAAAAGTACCTGCATACCTAGTAATGCATAGGCTGTGGAGTAATAAATATTATTCAAAATTTTGAATTTAAACATTAGCTCTTTGAATTTGTCATTATTCAATAATTTTAACTGAGGTATAAAAAATAAAATGCTCACATTCAATTATCATAATTGATCTTTTACATTTTATTTACACATAAATTATTAAACACTACAATTAGTTATTCATTCTAACTTTTACTCAACACTCCTTCATCTTGCAATTCTTTTCTAATTTTTTCTTGAACATTATCTGGCAGGCTCTTGAGTTCTCTGTTAATATAATCATTCAAATCTCGTAGAGGTTTATAGTACTGATGCACAATTTGTGATCCTGCGAACATAGATATCATAGCCGCTGATGAAAACGCTATGTACTGACCCCAAGTCACTCCAGCCGGCATTTTAGGCTGCAGCGTATTTCTTTATCTTTTCTTCCACAATGTCGTGAGCTTGACGTCTCTTAAAACTTGTGTAAAAATTTACTTCTCCAACTTTCCAATTGATCATAGAAAACTCTAAGGCAGCTCCAAGTACGAAAAACATGGGAAGAAACCTATACATCCCAAAAGTTTTTTTCCCGGGCCATTTGTTAACTACTGTGTGAACCCAGCCTATTCTCATTGAATCTGATGTCTTTGTAGCGAACTACACAAATATTTCAATATTATGTAAGCTACAAAAAGAACAACGAAATCCAGGAAAGCAAAATATAACCTAAAAATTTGTAATTGACAAGACAAATGTCAAAAACAGCTAATGTCATTCATTCATTGTCACTCATTGTGATTTGACAAACCCAAGGATTAATTTGATACCGCGGAAAAAATAAGATAAAACTCGACGGTGCCTCAATCTGCTGTCACCACTCGACACTGGCAGTATAGTCGACAACATCGTATTGGAGACGCGGCTGCCAAAGGAAAAAAAAACCCAAGGATACTGTATCAAAATTTACAGCACATATTTATTATTATACTGATCATGCTAAGGAATTAATGAAACACTGTAATTCCAGTTAACTTCTGAAACTTACATTTTATCTGAGCACAAAATGTGCCATTCACAAATTATTAATGCATAAATTAATTCATAATTTACGAACACAATCATAACATATAGTCAAACATAAATGAGAACATTCTGCACTCTACGGTTTATGCAGATAAACTGTCACAACCACTATCAAGGTGTCAATGTCAACAAAACAATCGTTCTGTCAAAGTCTTATACTAATTTCAAAAGTGCCTTTGAAACTTTAGTGTAAATAGCAAGTTTTAATTTTGTTACAATACAAAGTTTACTTACTTTGTTTATGGCCACGAGTAGGTAATGATAATTAAATGGTTGTTCTTTAGTGGGATGACTTAAGTAAGAACTAAAATAAGCTACTACCTAAAAAATATTGTTTTTTTTTCAGGCACTCGGTGTACCCGGTTACCTATACGTAAACCATTTCTATGGTTGTTAAATTACAGATTTAAACCAACTGCACTTTCCCATGAACAAGAAAGAACATGTTGATAAATTTTACAACAATATTGTTCCTTTAAAACTTACTGAGACACAGCAGCTAAAGCTTAATACAGAAGGTTGGGGGTTGTTGACCGAATATTCACTGGACTCGGTGAAGATCAATAACTATAAAGGAAGAGTGCTATCATGTGCTACAATAAGAATTACAGACACATCAGGACAAGTCACATGTTTGGTCAAGGGACCTGACACAGGTCACTTATTTGGATTGACTACTACAGAGTGGAAAGATGTTGAAAGTATGTGTAACTATGGAGACCAACTCTTTTATAGATACTTTAAAAATGGCATCAATAAAAGTTGTAGTTATGAGCAAAAAATCTTTTATAACTTTTGTATGACCAATCAAAAGAATGATGTTCTTGTTGCCAAATACCGGAGAGGTGTGAATACAAGAAACAAATTTAAAAATGATTCCTTTCTTGAAATATTAGAATTAAAGAAATGTGATAATACTTTGCTAGATCTCTATGTTAACCAACTTAGAAAGAATAACAGCTTAGCCAATTGATATATTTTCATATTTATTAATTCTAGAAATAGAATGAAGTTATATGAAAAATAAGACTAATCACTTCCTTATCATTTGAACTTCTACCAATATGAAATGCAAATTATTCTTAATTTTCCCATGGTATGAATTTTATAAAATCATGTATACTACAAAAATATAATGGATTTAATATGAAATTGTTTATATTTTTTTATGAAAAAAATACTACTACTATTACTTATACTAGGTACTTATATGCAAAGTAATCTTTCAGATTACCAATTTTCCAAAAAAATCTAGATCCTGGTATAAGATTTGCCCTTCATGTTCGTGATTGTGATTCATGAGCCCATAGGGCCTTAAAACAATTAAAACATGGGACTATTACTTGCTCACTATTACTAGTGAGTGACCAAATGTGGGCGTCATTTAATATACCTTACCTATCTGTACCCTTTCAGCCGCTGCTGCTAAGAAAGAAAAGCGTGATGTTACACGATATTTTCTACGTGTGATAATTTGACAAATACAGATGTCGTTCACAGCACGAACGATAAAGGCAAGAGTAACCCCGATTAGTTTAGCTACTTTCGACTCAATCAGCGGGATAGTTGAACAATGTACCTAATTAGCACGTAAAGAACGTTCAATTTGTTTTTTTTAAAACGTTGCCCCGCTGTAATTTCGTTTATCGTGGGTGTGTTTACAAACATACAATTTCACATACACGCACACACACACCTGAAACAACAATTTATGGATTACATACTGTTGCTCCGTGCGAAAATCGAACCCACTAAACGTTACCCGGCAGCCCGTTGCCCAGGCACCCCGTTCAATCTAAGCTGTACCAGCTGTATCTTCCGCTAATAAAATGGCAATGTATAATTCATGTCCTCGGCAAAGGACGCAAAAGTTAAATTACGGTAAAGAAAAAAATAACATCTAAACAACTCTGCCGGCACGGTTGGTGCAGTAGCTGTACGACACAGCTAAGCGTAAGTCGTGAACACTCGTGAATGTGTCACGGGTTCGATTTTTGCATGGAATAATCCTTTTTGTGATCTAAAACTTTCTGGCTAGATGTGATGTCATCGCACACTTATCACAGAAGAATAACTAAAATAAAAGTTAAGTAGTGATCTCAAGTCTCAATTAAGTATCCTTACTATAAGTACCTAAGTAGTGTAGAGTAAAAATGTTTTGACGATAGGGGTTTTTCATGTCGTACTTTAAACTCTTTCTTAGTTATTTTTGTTTATTACACCGACGAAAGCAACTGCTCTGAAAACCCAATCAACAATCAACCCAACTAGACTATAGAACGCCACTTGCTACGATTCTTGCATACCTCTTTCGTTTCCTCAACAGTCATCGGTCTTTTCATGAATGCTCGTCAGTTTTTTTTTTGAGTGGGTGTGTTACAATCGCCTTCCCACCTTGGGTTAGGTATGAGTCAAGAGGGACTGTCACTCTCACTGAATAAAACCACCCCGTTCTTTTGTTCCAACTGGAGCCCCAGTAATCTGCAATGCAACGTTATCCGCAGACTTACGCTACGCGCTCCACCTCCTTAGCTAGCGTGACCGCTTTGCAGAAGGCGGAATGTGAGAGCTGTACTTACTAGGTGAAGGACTAAAAATAATAATGGCTATGCACCAGCTTCAGGACATCAGAACTAATTAAAAATTCAAATTGTTTGGCATATACAATCGCAAACACCACGTTGCTTGAAGGTAGGTATTTAGACTGGGCTGTCATGTTTATTTTACCATATTGTTAAGTTATCCAATATTCAAACATTTGTGTGCTTCAATGATTCAAAGTACCTAGTACTAGTAGGTATCTATATACCAACCTATCTTTTGTAAAGTGTGGGCTGCTTCCTACGTTAGAGGTACCTTAAAGTGACGGTGGGCGTTGACATTAAGTAGGTACGGTTTTTGTCAATGGAAGGCAATGACGAATTGGCAATATTTAAATTTATTTTGTGGGCTGAGGCTGTATCGCGTCTCGCGCGACGAAGGCAGGCAGTGGCGGTGACTGGCAACTAGCAGTAGGCTTCGCGCCAGCGCGCAGCGAGTACGTGCGCGTGCGCTCTTGTCGAACGAGCCCGGGCTCCCGAGTGTAGCTGCACAATCGAAAAACTATATACACCAACTCATCGACATGGAAGTGGCAGATCAATGGCGGCGCGAGTGGGCTGGAGCCGCCGAATATGGAAAGGTGAGGTCAAGCAACCCCTCAAAAAGGTGTTTACAGTCACTTCAGCTTTGCTAATTTATAAACAATTTTATTTCTATAATTAAATCACTTATTTATGTAATAATTTAAATAAATGAATAGATAATTTAGATATTAAGAAGTAGATAGGTATAACATAACTATCAAACGCATGGTGCAAGCTTTCTAATTTGCATATTTATTAAAGCAGTTTTGTCACACATAATATTGTTTATTTCTATACAATAACAAAATAACTGCTGATACAATTTGAATGTAAGTAAATAAGTTAAGATTGTGGCATTTCGATTAACAAGAGGTCATTGCCAAAAGGCTGAAGTGGTCATTTCCATCTACGGTGTTAAAACTCAGGACGACGAGACGTTCGAGCAACTTTATGGATATTTATTCTCTTTTAAAGACTGAGACTTGTGCTTCATTGCATAAGGTTTAATATTGAGAGAAAAATGTTCAAACAAACCTGTCTGAGCTAGTTCAGTAAGTTTTTTTGTTATGCTCCTTTAATTCGTGTGGAAGAGATAAACTAAAATGCAAGTCTTGCAAAACCATACATACATATGTAACAGTTATGTCACTGTCATTATTTATTCCGGCTGCTTTCCGTAACATGTTCAAATGAAAGTTTTTGATAAATATTATAAAGTATTCATTATTTATGAATTAGAATAAATCGCATTCAAGTTTAGACAGAACCGACGGAAATGATAAACACGTTATGGCTTTATGATTATCTTAAATTCTCAAGTAATCCTTATGGTCTATTAAATGCCTGGTTGGTTTAGTTTTGTTCTACATAAGCATTATAGCACTGCACTGCCCTCACTCTGGGTAAACCATACCTACTTAAATACTTCGCTGATACTCATACCTTTTACACTAAACCGGTACTCCATTCCATTGCCATTGGATTGGATAAACTAAATTCCAGTTTAGTAAAGCTAGAACCTATGTCTTAAGTAGGTAGGCATCCTGATATTCCAAATGGCCCTTGTCGAATACCGCAAGTTGTTAGGTTGGATACAAAGAATATTTTAGAATATGGAAAAATATTAACCACATTATGGAAAAAGTAAAAAGAAAATTATTGCATCTTGTAACGCAATAACAAATACTATTACAAGCCAACAGGAAGGTGATGTGAACACAATAGTAATCTCGATCCCAACGCTTGATTGTCGAACAGTGAAAGTGAAGAAATAGACGTGAGGAAGCTACCGATCGCTTTGCTTAACGCATTTCCTATAGATACCTACCATAAATTATCTCCAATCAGGAAACCATGTAAAGACAACCTGGCTCTACGTGTTTGTGAACTTTAATCAAGTGCGTGAGTCATTGGATAGTGACGATTACAAATATGGAAATGAAATGATTATGCTCGAGTTCGATAAACAGTAGAAACACCATCAGAGTATTTTGACTTGATTATGACGCTCTCGCCTAACTACCTACATAATAGGTACCGTAAGGTAACGAAGCGTTGTTAACTCAACATGGTTATTCGGGTTCGTGTGCAGACTGCCGGAAATCCTGTGCAAAGGCCGTGGCTCGCGAGGCTGTGCCTGCACAGTGCCAAACGCACTACACTACCTATCTGTTGTTTGACTCTCATTATTTGTACGTAAACTTATCATCATTTGCATGAATGTCACAAAATGATGAGCTTCGCTCGCTACAATCGCTACGTTTACTGACTGTAGGTATGTTATTCTTATGCACGAAGGTAAATTCTTCATAATGTACCTACATGTTAGTCGTCTGAACTCGTCTGCGATATTGAAAAAGCTTTATAAACGTCAGATTTAGTGACCAATTAGTTAGTTACTTACCTAACTATTAAAATCCGCTTTCTACTTTCAAACATTAATTGCAAATCTTCAATTCACATTTTATGCAAAATTTTATCTCAAACGAGGAAATAATGATAAAATTTAAATCTCTTCGTAATAGACAGTTTTAGGAAAATCCATGACGATTGTGATCGATACGAGTTTATGACGCGCATTTGTCCTCCACCTACTTCATATATTTTTTTTAATAAATAAAGCACACCCATTAATGTGAACGATAGATGAATCACTGGAAACTTAGAGATTCTGGCGTATTTTCCTGCATTATTTCTCGTAAAATACCGATATTGCGCGTCGTCGTCCCTCACGCCCGCGCTAGAGTCGACGACCGCTGACGTCACGGACCCCTCCCCCTCCTCTTGCCAAATTAAGGCTTCGTCTTCAGGGTTGCCAAACTGTGGGGAATTCCCCAAACTGCGGGGAATCTCAAGTTGGTTGGGGATTTATTGGGGATTGGCATTATGTGGGGAAAATGCGGGGATTTTGACATCTTTTGGCATTTGACACAAATTGGAAAATATTTCATCGTTTTTTATCGATAACAACATTTTTTTAAATCATAAAGCATGAAGGCTGGAGAAAACATGGAAAATTTGAAAAAATATGAAAATCGAGGTACATTTTGCAGCTATTGCAGATTTCTATAAGACATGCTAAGAATTTTATATGGAATTCACGTCGGACATTATTAAGATATTTGATTTCCGAAATCCTTTATTTTCTATTATGTGTGTTTCAAATCCATTAGAAGCTCAACAGTTTCAAATTAAATCACTGGTGCCTGTACTGAAGTGATGTCCAGTGCAGTGTGACAGTACAAAAATTAGGAGATGAGTGGCGAACTCACGCTAAGCTGGATTTTCATCAACATGGGCTTGAAGTTCATGGAGATAACATTGATGATGAATGTTATCGGGGTAAAGGGTTTTGCATGAAAAATGCTGCGGGAGAATACCTATCCTCAAACATAAAAATTGTTATTTCATTATTGCTGATATTGCCTTTATCAAATGCATCAGTCGAGTGCTAGTGTCCTTAAAAATTTTTAAACTGAAAGCCGCAGTAGATTGAATACAGATACTATAGTATCATTAATGGCTATAAGGGAAGGGATTAAAAAACTGGGCGACAGTGTCAAGTTGAACCCTTCGAACAAAATGCTTTCGACTAATATATGGAAAAAATATAAAAGATAAACAATCAATATTATTTAAATAATTGATTATAGTTTTATTTTATAAAAAACTTTTGCGGGGAATTTGTGGGGAATCAGCAGATTTTTATTCCCCAATTTGGGGAATTCAATCAGGAATTTTGGGGATTTTGATGAATTAGCTTTGGCAACCCTGTTCGTCTTCCATTTGGGAAGATTCTCACAATTCAATACATGCATTCGTTACTACTTCACGCGTTCTGATTAATACTAATAAACTGTGCTAAGTTCACCGCTAATTTTGCAGAAACCCACGTGTGGACGTTAATCGTCAGACTCGTCTCCATGTCAATAGATCGTGCAACGTAATTATCATACAGCCTTTTTTACATAAGGAAGAGCTATTAACATTGCTGCTAAATAAATTATGACTTTTCAGGTTGCAAACCATAACGAACTGCCTCAACCTACTTCGTTCCTATTACCTTCATGAATTAATTAAACTAGGCCGTGGTAGCGGCAACGGAACCGGTTGTAAATAATTGACAGGCACCGATTCTCTTTTGGTAACTTGTAATTACGGTTATTTTATTAATCAAAACCATGTACGTGTAGTGTCCTTTAGGCGATTTAAATAAATGGATATATCAATATCAATATGTATTAACTTATAATATTAGTTAATTTAAAAACTTATAGCCTGCCTCGTTGCCGCCTGGCTGCCTGGCTGCCTCGTTGGCCGAGTAGTCGCAAGTGCGACTGCTGGGCAAGGGGTCTCGGGTTCGATTCCCGGCTCGAGCAAAGTATTACTGAGTTTTTAAAAAAATCTCAGTAGTAGCACGGACTATTACATGGGACCCATAATATAAATAGTGAAAAGTGGATGTTACATTGTACAGTGGTATAATGTGCAACTCTGCCTACCCCTTCGGGGATAAAAGGCGTGATGTTATGTTATGTGTTAAAAACTTATAGCATTATTATTATAAGTCGTAAGCGCTCCGTGGTAAGTCGAATGCGGCCTTCTGATTTTAGTCCGCGTTCGATTATACAGATGACGTCAGTTTATCTTCTGAAATAAATCGCCTTGATCAAACTCATTCCTAGTAAAAGGCTGCGCAATTTCAAACTGACGCAGCCACCGGCTGATGCTTTACCTGTTTCTTTAAATGGAAAGAAATATTACAGCAAAAAAGCCATCAGATAAATTGCCTATACATAAAATAAACTGTTTAATATGTAAATTAGAATTCGTTTTGCTTTTGTCTGTCTTAGTTCAGCTAATGATTACACATCACCATAAATAAATAAATAATGCAATGTTGCCATAGGCACTACTTTTATTTTATTTTAAAGCCAGTCTCATTGATCTATCTATCGGTAAACGTATATTGTATGGAGATTATGTTAAAACGGTTTCTTTAGGAACCAACTCAAACATCGACAAATTAGTCTATAAGTTAAACAGAACGTTACTCATATCAAATCAAATCAATCAAATGATAAGTACTCTTTTTCCCAAAATAAACATTGTTGAGCTTTCAAAAACGTACGAGTCCTGGGTATGGGTATACAGTAAAGTATTGTAAGGTGAAGTATATTTGTGGGTACAATGCAAATATTTAAACGTGTCTGACACCCACTTGAGTATTCAAAAGTGAGTTGATCATTGAAAAGATCGCAATCACGGCACGCCGCAATTTCATTTCGCCCCCGCAAGAAGGATCACGTCACTAGCAACAATAAATACATACTTGTGAAGGCCACAACAACTGTGCGTAACATTATTAACGTATAGACGACTTTGTACAATATTACATGTAATACTTAAGTAATTACCAAATAAAGTAATTTAAAAAAATATGATATCCACGATAATACTCTTCGAGGCACTGAGGCTTGTCTTGTATCTTGAAAGCTCATAAGAAGGTAAACTTTTCGTGAATACAAACGAGACCCGGAACAACAATGGCGTTGTGGTACCTTTATATTTACTGCGACACTCATTTATTTGTAGGCGGCCAGCAGTGGACCATGCCATACAAATATTTATCGAACAAAGATCGAACCTTCGTCTCGGAAAGTTTTAACCCAAACTTCTTTGTTTCGCATGAAGGAGGCTAATATTTGAGTAACATAGCTAGCAAATAATTACAGCCTACTTTACTCTGTCTACATATTGTACTAATACAGTAGGTAAGGTAGGCATAGTGGTAGGTACACAGGACACGAGAGTGGTGTAACAACATTCGTCACGACGACTAAGCAAGAAGTTCTCGGGCACGCACACATTGCATTTTGACAATGATATACTACAGCCAAACAAACGAAGTCTACAGAATACTGTGGCCACTTGCCGGACAGTTATAATAACAGTTGAGGTCATCATATGCTCGGTCATGAATATTTCATACACTACTTTCAAAGTTCAATTGCCAAGCAGTACCTAACGAGAGATTTATTCAATGAGGTATTATTAAATATTTGAAATATTTTTCTTTTTATAGGTAAGAACATTCACAACTTTACTTTTAAATTAGTCATCAATAGCTACTGGTGCTATATTGTGATTACCGCCAGGTGTGCATGCCTACTGCCTGGTAGATTAACTTCTAAAATAATTCTGTTATAAACTACGCTTAAAACCAACTTAAATCCCCTCCTTTTTTTAACTAGGTTAATTAATATACTAAAACCTCCTTATAAAGTAACAAATATTTTTTCTGTAAAACCGCATCAAAATCGGTTTAGACAATCGCGAGATAATCGTGGACAAACATACATACATACGTACATACAGGTCAAACTGAGAACATCCTTTTTCTGAAGTCGATTGGTAAAATGTAAGATGGAGGAAAACAAGTCAAAATCAAGGTTTAAAGAATTAATTAGATTAGGTAAACCCTTTTAGATTTGTAAATAAACACTTTAACAGGATAACTAACGATTTCCTCGTATATATATGCAAAACGATAAAACGGTGTATGGTTGTTTGTAATAATAATTGGTTTGTAATAATTGCAGGTGACAGAAGGTGGCGTTACGCGGCGCATTGCGCGTGCGATGGAGGTGTTGCACGCCAGCGGGCCGGGCGCGCGCGTGCGCGTCATGCGTGCTGCTTACCACTCATCCGCCGCTCCAGGTGCACCCGCTGCTTCTTTCATGTTACATTCTTCACGAAGAGTAAGTTCCACAAAAATATTCTCACCTAAGTACTATCCGATGACTAGTAGATTAAAATGTCTAGTTAATCGCTTTCGATGGATTCCCAATTTCCCTAGACTTTTTTGGGTCAATGTTAATTGTCAGATAGTGATATTTGCACACTATCGCTGAACCATAAAACCAACGCCTTGTACTGATAAAGTAAAGTCCTAATTGCATATTTTGCAAAATGATGTCACTATGAGATGTCATATTTTTATCATAAGAATTACCCCACATAAGTATCATATTACGAAGTAACTACATTAAGTGATAAAAAACTTGCGCTATTCCAGGTAATATCCTCCGGTTATAATTTACTGGAGTCCCCGTCATCACCCATCAAACCTTTGGAAATATCATCCACACCGTTTGATTCGTCACCTGAACCACACACTGAAGTAGAAAATTACAAAGTAACTGAACCAGACGACTTCGAAATATCGGAACCTTCCAAATGGCGAGGTTCTACCAAAGGAAGTTCCATTCGTATGCCAAGTGAAGAGTCTTCGTCAACGGACAATGCTAGTATTATCGACCTTGACTCTAGACTTGGCAGGAATCTCCACAGAAAGTATTCCTACGACTCAGAAAATAGTGAATTACAATTTAGTAGTAGAAATACTAGTCGGAACTCGCCACTACTGGACACGCCTGTTACTTTAAGTACTCTTAAATACAAATCCCTCTTGAACAGCAGTAACGACTGGAACTCGAGAAGGAAAAGTTATAGCTTCGAAGATACTTCCCCTCTAAACGAGACGATTACACACAGTAACGACACATTAGCCATGGAATCCTCCACGGATAGTGGTATTTGCAAATCAACAGAAGTTGTCAACGATCAAATGGATGACAACTCACATACACGGTACTTGTACAGAGATGATAGAAAGACGACCTCTAATGAGGAATCCTTTAAAGATTGGTTATCTAAAAATCGACCGACTTCGCACTACAGAGGAACCAAATTCAAGACTTATCGAGAACATGACATAGTTATGGAAGATCCTTCAGAAAATAATATAACTGTACAATCATCTGGAAAAGTATGCATAAACTTGCCAATTACTTTAGAAGCCGATAGCGAAGAGTATCCTAAAAAACATCAGCTGAATGAAGAAGGTGACAGAAGAATTAAAAAAGTAGAATTCTGTAAAACAGAGGTGCATTTTGCAGCAGAATCTGGAAAAGTCAATATAATTGCCACGGATGAGAAACCTCCTCCTTCAAATGATTTTAGAAAACGAAGAAGTGCCTTTGTACCCATGCAGGACATGATGGAGAAACCGATGATAACATTGTTTGGTGATAAAAACGATTTCCCTTCAATAAATGGAGTTGGCGCTCCTTTAAATGTTAGTGGTAGTGAGTTTGGTGAATCCGATGAGAATACAGCAGCTACAAAAAGTATTCTCAAAAATAAAATTCCGAAACCCAAACCATATCTTTTAGGAGAGAACATGGCATTTGGGATGTCTGATGATGTTATGAATAATGATGCTTCAAATGATTCTGTGCTGTCAGCAGTTTCTTTGGTGAATAAGCAATTAAAATCTGAAAATTACTACAAATCTGAAGTGAAACCTATGTTTCCACGAGAAACAGATGATTCTATACTAAAGCCCACCGCCTTACGGACAACTAAAGCAGGTAACTTTACGTATAATAAAATGTATCTAATATTAGTAATTACTCTTGCTAACATTAATATACGACTAATAAATAAGGCCCAATTACCTCCCCCCCTCCCCCTAATATACACGAGCACATGTCATATATTATGCTAAACTTTATTTTAATGTGTTTTAGGTCCTACAAAAGAAGATAGTTTAAAACGTGAGAAGAAAGTGGTTACAGATATTAAAATCAGTAAAGCAACAGAAAACTGTATAGAGAACGTTAAATCTAAATTTAATAGTTTACATATGACACCGTCTCAGAGAAAACCTAAAACCAGACAGCTGCGGGACAGCGAACTAACATACTTTGGTGTTGATAATAGCACCAAAACTAATTCGTATAAAAACAAAACTCAGTTGAAAAGTTCACTAGGACGCAATGACGACGTCATTGAAAACATATTTCAATCTGTCAAACTAATACAACAAGTCGCAAACAGCGTGTGTAGTGAGCCCGATTCTGATGAGACGCCTGAGTACCAGAATATACCGTTAAATATGAACTATGCTCCAGTACCAACCCCAAGAGTACGAACAAATTATGAAGATAAACCCAAAGAAGAAATACATGAAATTCAGGTTTTCCAACCAGTTCTTGAAAAAGAAAGCCAAATAGTAAAAGATGTGACTACGCGACGAACCAGATACCGCAGACAGGACGAAGTAACAACCACAAGAAGTATTTCTGCGCCTCCGAAATCTTTGAGACGTGATGCAGTTGAAAAGTCGGATCAACAAGAACATCAATCACCACGGTACGTATCTAAAATATTGTATCAAATTACAATATGTTTCTAAAATCGAAAATAAAATATATTTCTGTCATTTTCAGTACCTCAACTCGTTCCATAAAAGAAAAGAAAAACAGCGTAGAAAAGTTAAATTCGACCAACGAACACAATTCGTCGGACGAAAACCCGATATATGTTAATTTGAAAGTTAACATAGAAAAAAGAAATTCTCAAGAGAATCGAGATATCAAAAAACTGAAAACAAATTCGCTTAACACACGTCAGAGAAAAACACATAAAACAGATTCAAGTAGGAATAAAAACGAAAGTGTAACAGACGTACTTTCTGATCTCAGTAAGAGTAAAATCAAAGAACGCCGATCAGATTCCGGAACTGATAGCAGTCTTAGAACCAAAGAGTCTGGTAATAAAGATAGTTATTTACGTTCCGCCTATAAAGACAGTCTCTCGAGAAGAGCCGAGAAGAGTGATAGAATACGTCAAGCTGGAGATTACAGAGGAAAGTTGCACGAGGAACACAACACATCTGAACGTGTCCGTAAGTCTCGGGAAGATAAATGCTCAAAAGAGCATAAATCTACTATGGAAAATAAAGACCACAGGAGCAAATCATTGCAAAGACCTTCTTCGAAAGTGTCGGAAGAAACACCCCGTGATTTGGTAAAGAAATCAGACCATCCAAAAAGCAGTCTTGATCGTAATCACGGCGTAGATAGTAGTCGTAAGAGAAACTCTTCTAGAGATAAATCTACGAAAGAATCCATAAAACCATCCCAAAAAGCTGATTTAAGTTACACAGTACTTATTCCTTCTATACAATCGAAGAATAACACGAAAGACTATTCAACGAAGACGAACAGTAAAACACGTGAAAACTCGCGCAGAGAATATGTTATAAATTATGATGACAAAAACGGGACAGTTTCGTCTATCTGTAAAATAACACCAAGTCTGGGTACACCAAAACGAAAGAAAACAACAAAAGAAATATTCAGAGATAGTCAAAATGATAAAACGTTTAAAAATAATAATGTACACAAGATTGCCCCGCGTAAGTAAGTTGTGTGCATGCTCTAAAATTCTAACAAACGTGAAATAATTACATCTTTAAAGAATGGACATCTTTCAGTGCAGCTAGAGGATCATCAAGAGGATCGAAACGGACTGAGTTATGCAGATAGGAAGTGGAAGACGAAAGTACATGTACAAAGGTCTTGCCAAGTATTGTAGTAGTACTTTTACTAGTCGTAAGAACATAGGAACTAATGAAAATAATCTGAATCCTATTTGCGCTATGTAATTGTGTTCTGAGGTAGTATAAGATAATGATGATCTCACATGTAATGGTTATTTAAAACTAAATGTACTTTCCCTCGATCTAACACTTGAAATAACAATTTACAGTTAATAATAAAACATACTATAACGAATTAAATTGTAATTTATTTTAAAAAACTAATGGTTTTTAAAACAACTCATTGAAGATATACTTATAATGTAACAAGAGGATCTCTATCTACTTGACTAACAAACACTTGTACCTCATTGTTCAACAAATTTTGAAGGTTTATAGAAAAACCCTTTAAGAAGCCTCTCTCGGAATCAGAGTGGTTGGTTAGGATGACACTAATTCCTTTCTGTGCAGCATCTAATACGTCATGGTGGAGCATTTCCCCTGCAAAAAAAATATTGGTCATCGAGTAAAACATTTTTCATTCAGTTCAGTACTGGGAGTTGTTTTGAAAGATTTCTTAATTTATTTACCTGTTAAGTACAAACCAGCCTGAACTCCTTTCAGAACTGAGCTGCCGGAACCAGCGCACAGCGCTACAGTTTGAATTTCACTCGACATATTTTTCCCCTTCCCCAGAGCAAACCGCACATGCGATAATCCAGTCAATTGCTTTACTTTTGAAACCGCGTCCGTCAAAGAAATATTCGATTTAAGTTGCAGCAACCTACAACAATTTGTAAAACACATTTGCAATCAGTTGTTGCAAAATATCTCATCATATATGCGACCAAGACTAGGTCAACTGCTTCATAGATAAACTGACCGTTGTTGTAAGCAAATAAAGCAGAACCATTCTATTGCAAGTTATTTAGGTAGATAGGTATATTTAGGTTTTTTTTACAATTCTTCAAATAACCATTTTAATTTACTTTTAAATGCCTAATTCCTTTAATATCAGAAGAATTACCATAATAATGCATGATAAAACCGATAAATGTGTAATTAATAGCAATTTTATAGTCTTTTTGAGAGTTTTTCAATTTAAAACTGCCAATGAACATAAAGCTTCTTGTTGTGACTGTTGTAGGCGGTAGTCATTAGGTCATCGCAGCAGGGACGGACTTAGGTAAAGCTTAGAAACCAATAAGCATCATGATTTCAATTCCATTTAAATATAAAATCGTTATGATACTATTATAGACTTTTTTAAGGATTAACTCGTCGAATACCGGTTTTATAGACACAATTAAAGAACAATAGGTCGCGGTCACCGGTGACCGCTTGGTGTTTGACGGATTAATAACTTATTATGGGTAGGTTCTTTATTTAAGCCTGTTTGTTATATAATTACAAAGTCTACAGATTTACATTAACTAAATACGTCCCTGTGTTGCAGTATTAGCATATTTTACATTAATTGTTTTAATGTTTTATTCTTGGTGTGTGTCAGTGTGTGGGAGAATTGATGCTTACAGAATTCAAATTTAAACCACGATTGAAACCATCTTATCTGCATAGATTACTAGACAATGTATAATACATACATACATTGATAAATACCTCCATTGATTTGAAATATAAATAAATTCGCAAAATGATTAAACTGTGTACATGAATTACCTTCCTGCTCCAACTTGAGGGTCAGTCCCAGGGATTAACGGCTTAGATGCCTCAACATGAAACGCACTGGCCAGCCAGTCATTCACTCCGCCATTGACGCTGTCCCAGCTAGTATGAGGAGAGTACAAACTTATCCTTTTCTCCAAGAGAAATGAGACAATTCGTTCTTTCCAAGTACTGAAAAAAAAAATAGTAATGGCTTTAGTTTGTATTGGTTACTGTTGTTTGAATAGATATAAAAACCGACTTCAAAAAACCAAAAACTAATAACAAACAAATGGTAACCACTAAAAATCATAAAATAATAATTATTAGTACTGATATGTCACCCATCCACTGATAGGTTAGAAGTCGGCGCCCATTTGTGTTGGATAGCCCATTTATTGAGGAAGGCTATAGGCTATAAAATATCACGCTATATTAACTCGTCGAGTACCGGTTTTATAGACACAATTAAAGAACAATAGGTCGCGGTCACCGGTGACCGCTTGGTGTTTGACAGTTAAATAGGCGCCGAGCAGAGCGAGTAAAACCGCGCGGAAGTAGCTAGTATTTAATATAAGACGGCCTCATTGGCCGAGTGGTCGCAAGGTCTCGGGTTCGATTCCCGGGTCGAGCAAGTATTGGGTTTTTAAAATAATCTCAGTAGTACCACAGAGTCTCGAAATTTGCCCGGTATATGGCAATAGGCTATTACAAGGCACTCATAACATAAAATAGTGAATAGTGGGTATAATATTGTACAGTGGCATTAAGTGCTATAATGTGCACCTTTGGCTAGCCCATTGGGGATATTAAACTGTCAAACACCAAGCGGTCACCGGTGACCGCAACCTATTGTTCTTTAATTGTGTCTATAAAACCGGTACTCGACGAGTTACGTTAAGTTATCTAATATATATTTTCAAAAGTTCCATTAGTCTTTATTAACAGGTCAGTTTTGAAAGGTAATAATTTATTACAATGGATGAACGTACCTCTGAACTACTGACTTCATTGGTGCAAATATAGGAGGATGGTAAGAAATGATCATTTCACACCCATGATTACTGGCCTCCAAAGCTACATCTTCTGTGAGGTCATTTGTCAACAGGACCTTTGATATGTTCCTGCAACATTAGTTTTATAGTATTTTAAACTGTCAAACACCAAGCGGTAACCGGTGACTGCAACCTATTGTTCTTTAACACACAGTTTCAGTTCTTTGACACAATTAAAGAACAATAGGTCACGGTCACCGGTGACCGCTTGGTGTTTGACAGTTTAATAAAAAGACTCAGTCAATACTGAATATTGCATTAAAAAATTATAAATATTTATTGCCATTAAACAAATGACTTTAAATTACCTGGGAGTATATGGCTGCACCAATAGACCAGTGTTGTCCCAACTTTCGGACAGTTGCTTTGATGCAAAATTTTCCAGAACTGCAGTCACTTTCTGCAGTGGGACACCAACATTCTCTCCAGTAGACATTTTTATGGCTGTTGTATAGAACCTTTTCAGACCGTTCTGAGAGAAGATGTGTTTTCCTACTGTTAAAATCATCAGATATGAACTGAAATCCATGTACTTAAATATTACACTAACCCAAAATAAATTAATTTAAGCACCAAAGAAAACAATTACATAAAATAAAATATTCATTTATTATGAAATCCCAACACTTTCAGCCTACATAACTAAATAATAATGTATATCAATAAACTTTGATGCAAAACTTGATCAATATTTTACAACAATGATGATTCTTATTAGTAAACAGTATTAATTTATTCAGAGAAATTCCAAATTTTTATTTCTCCATCATCACTACAAGAGAGTAATTCTTTGTTGCCCGTTGGATTCCATTTCACACAGTTCACATCTTGGGAGTGTGCATTCAGTTTAGTGCAAATAAGTTCAAATGTTGGTGCATTAGGATCAGAGTCTTCAGATTCTTTGAATATTCTAATGATGTCATCACCAGATGCTGTTGCTAGAAGTCCAGTGTGGTGGCACCAAGCTACATCATAAATACATCTGGTATGGTATCCAGATAATGTGCAGACACATTTCCATACAGACTCTCTGTCTGTTACTATAACTCCTTCTTGGTTGTTAGGTTTATATTCCTTCCAAATTTTCACTGTTCTGTCATCACTGCAAGTGGCAAGTCTTTCTCCAGTCTTGTCAAAGGTTAAGCTCCATACTGTAGACTCATGTGACTGCAATGTGGCTATACAGCTCCAGTCATTGTCAGCTGTGTCCTCTTTGTACAACTTAACTGTGTTATCATATGATGCTGAGGCCAAGATGTCTAGTGAAGGATGCCAAGCTACCTACAAAAAATATAATTTATGAAAAACATTCTATTTATAGTCAATTAAAAACTGAATATGGGTATCTTTACAAACTTTCTTGACATCTTGGTTGTGGACATTGAGTACAGATTCACATTCATATTCGTCATCTCCAGCCACTTCCCACACCCAGACTGATTTGTCTCTGCCACATGTTGCTAACAGTTGGCCGGAGGGAGACCATGCTACACTCTTTACTTCATTCTCATGTCCCTCCAGTGTAGCATTGCATTCAAACTGACCTATGAACACAGTGTATTGTATTTCATACTGAAAAAGTGATAACAATAGCATTTCATTATGTAAAATAAAATAGTAACACACCACTTTTCTTGTCCCAAATGGCTGTTGTTGCATCAAAGCTAGCTGAAGCCAAGTAGTTGCCACATGGTGACCATGCCACTTCTCTAATGGTACGCTGATGACCATCCACTAGAACAGTTTTTATTGTCCAGTCTTGACCTTCTTTGCTCCATAATTTGATCGTTTTATCTTCTCCACAAGATGCAAATATTTTTCCTTGGGGATGCCAAGACACATTCCAGACAATGCCTTTGTGGCCAGATAATGTTTGCAGTAATTCCAAATTGGGCATTTCTCTAAATAAAAATATACGTCTTATCACTACAAACTTTTACGATGTGATCACTTCAAGTAATGAGTTAATAACAAACTGAACCTAAGTTTCTAGTTGATAATTTAAAATCGTATCAAAAACTTAAACAACAAATTGTTTAATTTAGGTGTTTAACTGATAAGGTATGTATTTACTCCGCAGTTCAAGTGGTTAGAGCAAGATTAAGTTTTCGGCGAATCATTATTTATTGGCAGTCTTGAAAGCTAGGAAAAGGCAGTGACAGACATTAATCAACTTACCTGGAATAGAATAATAGATTATGATAGTAAAACCTATTTGAGATTTTCGATGTTTCGTTCTTTTATAAATTATAATCTTATTCGAATACCGCTCAACAACTCCTATTCTAGTTTGACAAATCGACACAACGAGTCAACGACAAACCGAATTTAAGAAGTATTGTGTGATTTTTTGGATCAGAAATCATTTGATAGATTGTCAATCACATCACATGTGTTTGACTTTGATTAAAATTTTGACATAATATTTCATAGACAAGGAATTCAACTGAAACCCTAAAATGTTCAATCTATTCATTTTCATGATACTTGTTCGACACGATAAACCAAAATAGTAATTTTATAGTTTGATAACTACAAAATCATGACAATGTAAATTTTCTTACTTTTTTATTTTAGATTTTAGTTAAAAGCTAAAATCCATAGACAATGTCAACCAACAGCATAATAGACCAACAGTAAAACGTGAACCTCTAGTTAAATGTGGAAGTATCGTAGACAGAGAATAGAGAATCCTATATTCTCTGTCTACGGGAAGTATAGACAATTGACAGTATAGTCCACTGATATGATTACACCTTATCAGTGGATTACATTTATGGTATTGTCTATTGATAGTTAAACGTCAAAGTGTCAAACAAACGCTAACGCAGTTTTTTTAGGTTACTACTGAAGTTCACAAAACAATGCTACAGTGTTTATAGGAGTTTGAAATAATACCGAACTTTAATTATAAACCATGGATAACAGTAACAGAATCGTCCCACCTCATCTCAATGCTGAAATATACAGAACCGACACCACCGGCACGAACACCCTATCTTATTTAGATTATGTCAGAATTCATTCCGGTATGTATTTCATTTTATGGTCTTTTTCTAGTAATATATAATCCTGAAAATATATTGAAAATATCAGAACTTCACATCATCTGCCTTTATGTGGCCACTGCTGGCCAAAGACACGCGCGGAGGAGGTTTTTGCATTAATCACCACGCTCGCTCAAGGGGGGTTGGCGATTTCAAACTTATAATTATGAATTGTAAGCCCAGGATTCCTCATAATGTTTCCCTTCACCGTTTGTCCGTTGTGTCTGATTAATAATCTTAGATAGTTCAATAACTCTGAAAATTACAGGACTTACTTTTTTGTAAATTTATGTTTCAGATGGAAGTGTTCTGGTGGGATCATCAGAACTAACTGGTCGGTATTGGAACGGTGGCGTAAGTGTGTACAAGAGTATAGCTGAAGCTCAAAGTATCAAAACTGAAGATAAGAGGAGTATTTCTTTGTGCAGTGGAACTGCTGATGGTTGCTTTATAGGAAGTTCAAATAAGGTATGATTAAATTGATTAAATATTGGTTATGGTGTCTACATCACATTCTTTAGTGCACACGCTGGAAAATTAAAGGATATAAAATCAATGTAGTATTTCATAATTAAAGCTGACTAGCCTAATGGCTAAGATCAACTGGGTCTGGTCTGAATCAACTTGTCTAAATATTTTGTAACGGTATTGTGGTCCAAACCTCCCACAGTTGGTATCAGGTTGATGTAACATGAGATGCAAATGGAACTGGTGTTTATATAGGTACATATTTGTGTACCTAGTAGTCTCATTAGCTGTTAAAGTATAATTTCCCTACATTCTCTTATACTCTATACAACATGTTTAATAACATTTACTTTTATTCTTTAGTTGTTAATATGTGAAGACAGTGGTGCAGTAAGTGTATGGGTCAAGAACGGTGACCAGCAGAATGCTTGGCACCAATGGAGGGAAGACCTCTCTGTAGCAGAACATGATAATGCAGTTTTAGCTGTAGACTGCCTTGAACCTGAACGCCTCTATGCTACCGCTGGTGCTGATGGAAATGTAAAGGTTTGTCCAAATATGAATATCATTTTGATACCAAGAATAATAAAGAGAGTGAAGATTTAATTATGACTCAATGTAGTTACTGAAATATTGTCAATAACTGATGATGTTCACTTCTGTTCTTAGTTGCTGACTTCACATAAATGTAAGACTTAAATCCGATAAATGTGTTGTAAATAATTACAGGTGTGGGACATAAATGACATGATATGTATAAGGAACTACAGTGCAGCACATAGTATGATTATAAATACAATTGCAGTAAAACCAAAGTCTGCCCACAGTTTTGCAACTGGGTCCATGGATCAGTATGTCACATTGTGGGATGAAAATACTGATAAAGCAGTGCTAGGTAAGAAATCCTGACTCTATTAAACAACAGGATTGATATCAAGACACAAGTTTTTTACTAACAAAAAGGAGTATGTATAAATGTATATTGATGAATGTATTGTTTGTTCCAGATATTATGAAAAATAATTGCGCTATACACTGCTTGGCTTGGTTGGATGAGAATCGTTTAGTTGTAGGGGATGAAGCTGGTGTATTATATTTGGTAGATATCAGAAACACAGAAAGTAATGTGAAAATAACAGAATTCCCTGCAGCAGTACACAAGTTGGTTGTACACCCAGAGTAAGACTTCTTTAATGTTAAATAACAAAATAATAAGGGACAGCTTCATGTTCTATTTAGAATATACTAACATTTGATTCTTTTTACAGTACGGACAAAGTGGCAGTTTGTTGTGACAACAGAATTGTCACAGTTTGTAAAGTGGAAGAGAATTGTGAACCCAAAGTAATATACCATGACAGACATATGCACAGCAACTATGTCAGAGGAGCAGCTTGGGACATCGAGGATAAGAACACTCTTCATACAGTTGGATGGAACGGTGAATTGAAATCACACACAATTTCGTTGGGTTGAAAGTAGTTTGTATAATAAAACAATATTCCAAAATTGTTGACTTTTTCTTTTTATAAAATGAAGTAAAAGAGAACCTAAACGTTTATCAGAACCTCCTACTTATTATCACTGGGGAATATCATCGAATTACTGCTCCCGCTTGGGTGAGTGTCAGACTCTTACTGACTAAAAACCACCCTATTCCTTCTCCTGCACGTCGAGCCGGAGCCCCGGTTACCCGTTAGGTTCTCCGCGACTCCGAATCAGCATCGGCCCTATTGGGCCCCATCTGTGGTGGTCTGATGGCTCTTTGTGGTGCGCGCGCAACGCGACGCGCCGTACGCTCGGGTCTGTTTCTGGTCGGACGGGGGGTTTATTCCACTTTGTTCACCTGGGTGATTTCACCTAGGTGAACAAAGTAGACTTTTTGGAGTCCTCAATTCACCTGGGAATTATTTCACCTAGGTGAATTGAGTTGACTTAAGTAGTCTCCTTTGTTCACTTGTCAATTAATTCACCCAGGTGCACAAAGGCGACTTTTTACTTTTACGTTGTGGACTTATATCACCTACCTACCTTAAATCAAGTTAAATAAAAACTTTCAATTTTACATATATTTTAATATGTTCAAATATCAGATTAATGTTGGTCTATTACACATGCAAAGACATATCACAATTTCTAACACTACGCTAGGAGTTCCAGTTACAGCTATAACTGTACACTGGGTATAATTACGAACAAAATTTTATTCCCACACGTGGTCTTGGAAATTGTGAAATCACCCAGGTGAACAAAGTGGAATAAACCGGACGGGGAGCCACCCATTCTCGCCGTCCGCAGGCCCGCGCTTACGGTGGCCGGAGATCGTCCCGCGATCCCCGACGTCCGGTGTGTCCTTTGCGATGGCTGGGTTGCGAGGAGGCAGCGCTTCGCTGTCTCACGCGTCCCGCCTCCACCATAGAGATAGCAAGTGCAACCTTGCGCAAGAGGACTCTGATCAATTCTGAGGTGCAGCAAAGGGTTATGACAATGAACTTCCGTACAATTGCCATAAAATAAAACAAATATATTCAATGCTGCCATAAGTATTTATTTCTGCGATAAGTAATAATGATGTGAGTAACATGCGGAGGTCGATCAATGGTGGGGGGAGGGCGCACGATGCTCGGGCGACGCGCACGGCGAGGAGCCGCGCCGGCTCGTGGTGCCGGGGCTCTTCAGGCGCACCATCGTGTCCAGGTGCCGGAACCTAGGGGACCAGGGAAATAAACAAAATTACAAATACCCTCATGCCACCTACCGCGTAGGAAAATCAAATACTCGGGGATATTAATTGAAGAGCCAGTATTTAAATGCTTACCTCAATGGCAAATCGTTAGCATCGTTATCCACACTCTGGAAGAAGAATCCGAGCGGCCAGCTGATCCAAGACGATTGTTTCCTGTAAATAATAAATTGATAACTTACTTCGGTGAAAAAAAGAATGGAAATGAGAGAAGGTGCTAAGTATGTGAGTGAAGTCTAAAGAAATCTACAAGGTAGTAGTAGGTATCTATCTACTCGATTACTACGCACTCGGCTATGTGGGTTGTGGACTCACCATTCACCACGCTTTGCACGCAGTTTGGCGACCACAGAACCAGACCTGCTGCTTGTCATTGAACCGGGCTGTTGGGGCTGGCTGGCTAACCAAACATATCTCATCACTAAAAGCCTAACAATTTATGAATACGCAAATGTTTATTCTGATTTCGCATTATCTGTCGTATCGATACATCCAGGACTGGCTGGTCTGTACTAGCGATCTTTCTATGGAAAAATATGAGTGTTATGTATGACAGATGATTACTCACGGAGTAGAGGGTTGGAGTTGATCTGGGTCAGTGGGCGTGTCGGGCGTGGTGGGCACAACAGTGCGCGGCGGAGAACCCGGAGTAGTAGGTACCGGTGGAGGCGTCTTGTTAATTGCCGGGTTGTAGATCTTCGGGTCACTCACCATGCGCACGAAGAACGAACGCTTGTGCGCAAGAGCAGCCTTGTTGCGACGAGCGCGCTCTTCGTTTAAGTCCTGGAACGTCCAACAAGTGCTCTGTTTAGAACGTTGAGCTACTAAAAAGTAGGTATTTAGGTAACGGCCAATCTCAATAAGTCTATTTTATTTATTGGTAAACGTACGCTACGGAGTAGGTAAGTAGTACTGACATAAAATAAGCTCCATTAATCGATAGATAGGTACTACTCTAGTACATAATACGTACCTACCTATATTAACTAAATCTATCCTACCTAGTTTATTGAGACCGTCTGTTAATAAATACCTGGACAAGTTGATCTGTTCATAATTTTATACCTAAACTTTAGGAACTCATGAACACTGAATTTACCACATAGGTCATCATAGTCAGTTAGTAGTTATTTTACCGACATTTTAAGTACTTAGTATGTTATGGTATAAAAGTAAGTTGGTTAATAAGAACTTTGAGTCGATGAATAATGGTGACAACGATTATAATAACACGAACTTTTTTTTTCATATTAATACCAACCCGCCTTTGTATTTACTCGTACTTTTTTTTAGTAAGCTAGGCATTAGGTCCATCTAAGTAATTTCTAAGTGCAAGATATTGTTTAAATACCTAATGACAAATGACCGATTCGATGTTACAAGAAGTTGCATAACAACAATGGACGACGATGCCGATGTTGACCGGAAATTTTGAAAGATTCTTAAATAAATGGATGGTATTCGGAAACTCTAATACTTAGTTAGACCAAATAAGTATCAGTTGGTAAATGCTATACACTATATTACAAAATGCTTTGTTAGGAGGAGGTGGAGAAAGAGGTTCAGGTGTTGACGTCCTCCAGCTGCCTTCTGATGATGATGATGAATCTAACCCATAAGAAAGATTCATAGAGATAGAAGAACATCATAGTGGTTATAGGTAGGTAGATACCTGATTGTTAATAGGTTCTGCATGGTGGATATAAAATTCGCAATGGAATTGGTGAACGAAATCAATTGTTTTAGTTGTAGTACATATCAAGTTTGAATATTTAAGTACAACTTACCTCAAAGACGTAATTGTTGAGATGTTTGAGAGTTACCAAACATGGGAAAGTATCCTGCTGAAAGTACCTGATAGTGAGAGGTGATGTACTAGTGCAGTACTTAATATCTGTCACTAAAAAAGCAGGCCATAGTTCAAAAACAACTTGCGACATAGCTTGGGGAATGGTAGGTAAGTATAGATGTCTTAATTAATTTCTTTTTTCTGAGAAAAATGATGTTTGTAACGGTGTTTTGACGCTGAGTTCCTATCTAATAGGTAGGACTAGGAATAGATGGGTAAAACGGAAAGAGGTGAATGAAAAAGTGAGCGATTGGAGAAAGAACGGGGAAGAAACTGACATCGACGGAAATACCTTCGGAGTAGTAGGTATAGTGTGGTATGGTGTGTAGTATGTTCAAGTAGGTAGGTATGAAGGTATATGCATCTAAGTATTATTTAATTTTGTTTATTTACCAAACAATATCAAATGTGGCATATGTACATCATAAGTCCCTCTCTTACTTTCTAAGCTTAGTTAGAAACGTCTGATACACACAATGCAGCAAAACAGTGAGAACTAAGATTTTTTTTCGCGTGGAGTAGACGTGTAGAGCTACAGATTATATCGACCTGGATCTTCCAAGAGGATAACTCCTTAAAAGATCTAGTTTGATATTATCAGTAACGCTGTGTGAATTATAGGTATACAAATAGGCATCTATCGTACCTACCTATTTTATGTAAAAGGGAAAGTTCGAAGAATGTTAGAAATATAATTTAATGACCCTAGTAGGTAATAATATTTATGTCAGTCTTCTAAAATAATTATAACATAATTGCACTTTGTACTGTCACCAGTACTCCTCATTTAGCTTGTTCGGGAATTAGCTCTTTAATTCCAATTTTATCCGTTTTATCGGCTGTGCGTCGGTGAAGGTAGTCTCTAAAAAGGTTTCTTTCAGCCGCGACAACAGCGCCACGGCGCCTCCCGTTGTACATCCATAGTGTTCCAAATCTTGCCACTGAGTGTGCACGTAACATCGGCCATCCTAAAGTGAATACCATGAAGTATTCACAAAGGGAAATGGATATTAGCAACAAAAAATAATGTTTTACTTTAGAATTGGCTGAACTCAAAAGGCTAATAGATCCATCAGATTCAGAGTGACTAAGTATCTATTTGATAACACTGAATGTCTCATGATTATCTAAAATTGTCATACTTTACATTATTCTATTAGACTAAAAACCCAAGCGTTTGACTTTGATTAACTTAACTTCATACCGTATACAATAGGTAGATATGTACTTAGGTACATAATCACTCCTAGTATTAAAGGTCTTGGAAATGTTTACTAGGTTCAGCCAATTCTGTAGCATAATAATAAAAAAAACAAGCCAAAATATAAAGGTGAAATAAATAGTAAACAAAATAGGTAAGTTATGAAATATTATGATTAGATACTAAATATAATAATGACTGCATGTAAATAGGTAAAAAATATGTTACGCATAACATATCATTTCAAAATAACAGCAAGTACAGAACAAAGCAGACTTAGACATTATTATAAGACAGAACATAAATCAATATCAAGCAGGTAGGTATGCCAGAGCCATGTCACGGGAGACCTCTCAGATGTATAGGTAGGTAAATACATACTATTGCACTTGTCCAATAGTTTTCGATTCATCCTTCGTTCTCATCAGGACTTGAAAAAATATTAATCAGTTTCATCCATAGATTTTTTATCACTGTCTCTAATTTCAATCCAAAAAATTTTATATAGGTAGGTACCAAAATATTGAAATCGATAATAAGCAGTCTTTAAACATATGCTCAACGGAATTATACCTGAACCACAGCAACTTTCAAGGTGTCAATTCTGGTACCGTTGCAGGAGGCAATGTTGACGACAGACGATCCCTTCAGGTTATTCGTCACATTGTTCTCATACTCGAGTGACGTCATACGAAGATAGTTACCAAATCTAGTGGCAGGGTTTCCCAAATATGCTTCTGCTACGATAGCTTTAAAGCTTTACAGCGCGCTGTGTTACAGGTTTTCGAGCACGTTAGCATATCCTTCGAAATTTTGGAAGTGCGTCGGATCAATACGACTTCTCAAGAGAAATCATTATTAATCTTCTAAGTTATCAGAGCTTAAAACTTACTACCGTGTAATCCACCATGCGTTCCAGTTTTTGTGCCATTAAATAGTTCTTAAAGAATAATTTAATCACTTGACGTTCAACACTAATTTCCTGGTTCTAGCAATAATTGTAGACATTCTTATCCCTATGTTTTTATACCTACTCAGACTTTTACTCGTATTTAGATTCAATAAAATTATAGTGCCAGTGTGGCAACGTTCCTGATGACAACTATAAAATTGTGATCGGAGAATCGAATCGATTTTATTCCCTATTAGATTACCTAATTATAACATTTTTAGCGGTCGTTATGTTGCAACTCAGTGTGGCAACATAATGAACAAAATTCATTTTACTGAACTAATAAGTCAGAAGTAGTTTCATGAATGGTACACAGGTACCCGTAAATATCAATTCTGAATAAAATTAAAATGTATCCATCAACAGCCTATAAATACCCACTGCTGAGCAAAGCCTCTTCTCATACGGAGAAGGTTTTAGCATTAATCACGATTTCAAACTTATAATAAGCCCAGGTTTCCTCACGATGTTTTCCTTCACCGTTTGTCTGTAGCGTCTAGATAATCTTAGAAAGTACATAACTTGGAAAAAGTCACAAGTTTCGAACCCACAACTTCATGCATGAGAAGCTTTGTAAATATTACACATCTTATGTAATTTATAATCCTTAATAATAGTTTTTCGAAAAAATCTTGCGTCGATAAAGGTACTCTCTAAAACGGTTCCATTCTCACCGCCACGACAGTAGTTCCATCCTGTTGTCCGCTTCGCATATGCACTTTGCCACTGGAAGAGCGCTTAACAAAAAGTTATGTTAACCCGAAGCCTAGGCTAAGTCGTTTCGTAAAGAAATGACTACAAGCCAAGTATCTACCTCACATGCTACGATTTCTTCATTTATGGTCTCAAAATTTGAAAACGTTTAGACTCGAAACGCCACTTTCCTATTAAAATTAAATATCAGTTTCTAGGCAACTGCATTTCTTCTCGAAGGTTACCTTAAGCGTTTAATGATCGAAACC